GGACAATACCTTTTGGGTTTTCTTTCTTATGAAAAAAAAAAATTGAGTAACCCAAGAAGAATGTCCAATACCTTTTAGTTATATACTATTGAAGGGATGAAGATATCCAAGAGGAATTGGACAGGCGTCCATTACATGTTGGGTAGTATTCTGATGAGGGAATTCTCAAGAAACCCAAGAATTAGACAAGTGTCCATTGCCTGTTGGGTGGGATGTAGATATCCAAGAGGAGTTGGACGGATGTCCATTACCTGTTGGATGGTATTCTGATGAAACAATTCAAGAAACCCGAGAAGAATTGGACAAGTGTCCATTACCTGTTGGGTGAGATGTAGATATCCAAGAGGAGTTGGACAATTACCTATTGGGTGCTATTCTGATGAAACAATTCAAGAAACCCAAGAAGAATTGGACAAGTGTTCATTACCTGTTGGGTGGGATGTAGATATCCAAGAGGAGTTGGACAGGTGTCCATTACCTGTTGGGTTGTATTCTGATGAAACAATTCAAGAAACCCAAGAAGAATTGAACAAGTGTCCATTACCTGTTGGGTCGGATGTAGATATCCAAGAGGAGTTGGACAGGTGTCCATTACCTGTTGAGTTGTATTTTGATGAGGAGATTCAAGAAACCCAAATAGAATTGGACAATGTACACATGTTCAATTGTTCTTGGGTAGTTTAATCCCTTTGTCAAAATACAACCTAACAGGTATTGGACACCTGTCCAATGCCTGTTGGATACCTTCATTTTGTCCAACATGTAATGGGCGTTTGCTTATTATTAATTGGTCACGACTCAAAAAGGTTTAAGAAATAAAGTCCGCGTTTTCGTGAATGTTGCAGAATAACCTCCGAGGTCGAGAAATGTTGTTTGAAATATAAAAGCCGAGGCGTTAGCCGAGGCTTTTATATTTCAAACAACATTTCGAGACCGAGGAGGTTATTCTGCATCATTCACGACAACAAGGACTTTATTTCTATTCTACCACGGACGATTAATACGGCCGATTGTTTCCTCTATAGAGAAACGAATTAGGTCACCATGTCTCGATTACGCTGTTCTATTTAACACCCCAGAGAAATTTTGTTGAATTAACAATATATGGAATGCAGATATTTGAGCTTGCCGTGCATTAAAAACAGTCTTGTTTAATTACAAATTTGTTCGTTATATGTATTGATCAGTTAAAATGAATATACAAAAACAAAATCATGTTCTTGTTTTACTGCTAAAATCACGTTGTTTAATGTGTAGGGAGGTCCGTGGAATAGCCCCGCTTAGCTATAAAAACCGACATTCATCAGCAACTTGATGCAATTTACAGTGTTTATACTGCAAAGACGACACATCGATGCGGTCTAATCAAGTATTTCATTCTACATCCAAACATGCATTTGAATTGTTCAGATTTGATACGTGTTTCTGATCTGATAATTTTTTGATGACGTTCGTGGTCTATTGGAGAATAATGTCCGGCGGCTCCTTTGAAGCTTTTCAATAACCGTGGTAGAATTCTCCTTAAATACCTAATTTTGTTATTCAAGAAAGGTTGAACAGAGTCTGAGATGTGTTGAGTTGTGTTTTCACAATTCAGTTTTTTTGCACTTAGGTACTCATATATTTTAATATTAGATATTTTGAAATATACAGGTGTATATTCTTATTGCTAAGAACAATTTAGTTAGGTGTTACAATAAAAGAGCTTTATCACAGAAATTGACAAAAATATGGGTTCAAGACCAAAGGTTTTCAGTCTTGTCTGAATTTACCTGCAAATATTAAATATATAATAAATTTGAAATGAATAAAAAACAATAAGAAAAAACCCAATAAAATACGGACACGAGGATTAATATCCAGTAAGATTTGAACAGTAACTACCCAAATAATGCTCCCTCGTGTGTACATTTTTTTTGTATCCAATAAGCAGTATCCAATAGGACTTGGACTTGATGTACCCAATATATAACCAAATGTGTGTCCGTCCGTCTGTCCGTCTGTCTGTAAACTTTTTACATTTTGGACTTCTTCTCAAGAACCACTGGGCCAATTTCAACCAAACTTGCCACAAAGTATCCTTGGGTGAAGGGGATTCAAGTTTGTTCAAATGAAGGGCCACGCCCTCATTCAAGGGGAGATAATTCGGAAATCAATGAAAATTTGGTGGCATATTTTTAAAATCTTCTTCTCAAGAACCACTGTGCCAGGAAAGATGAAACTTATGGGGAAGCATGCTCAGGTAGTGTAGATTCAAGTTTGTTCAAATCTTTACCCCTGTGGGTAGGACGGGGCCAAAATGGCCGACCAAAAATTTACATAGAAATATATAGGAAAATTCTTTAAAAATCTCTTTCTCAAGAATGACAAAGCCATAATTCATCATATTTATATGGAAGCATGCTCATGTAGTATAGATTCAAGTTTGCTCAAATCATGACCCCTGGGGGTAGGGCGGGGCCAAAATGGCCGACCAAAATTTTACATAGAAATATATAGGAAAACTCTTTGAAACTCTTCTTCTCAAGAATGACAAATCCATTATTGGTCATGGGACTACTTTTGGATTTAAACTTTACAATAAAAAGCCATTTTCTACTTTTCCCTAACCTTAGTGCTCAGGTGAGCGATGTGGCCCATGGGCCTCTTGTTTTTTTTTTACTAATGAAGAGTATAATCGATATTACACAGCAGATATTACACAGCAAATAAGTGATGATTTCTACATGATATATTATGAAAAAGTACAATGCCACAACATTGCACATATATTTTTTATCAATTGTTTTGAGCACTTCTTTTGCAGAATACGATATATCTTAGGTTATCGAAAATGTATTCTGTTTCATACTTGGATATTTTACTTGCAAAAGACGCTAATGGTTATCTAACAACCAAACTATATGAAAAACGTGATGACTTTTACTTTTCTATCATAACTTCCCTTACTTTTGCAGCAATATACCTTCATCACCTTCATATGGAGTATATAAATCTCAGTTTATTCAATATGCAAGAGCATGTTCTACGTATGAACCTGGCACCTGATCCCACCTCTGATGTTTCGGGGGTCCGTGTTTGCTCTCCTATTTTGTATTGTTTTATGGACTTTGAGATTGAATACTGTTCGTTATCTACATATCCTTCTTCTAAAAAGAGGTAAATTATTGACAAGCAAGTTGATGAAACAAGAATATTTGTCTCGTTTAAAGTCATCAATTCGTAAGTTCTATGGTCGATACAATGATTTTGTCAACAAATACAATTTATCAATGAGTCTAATGCTGACTGACGTTTTTCACACTAGGCCAATTGTTAGTCCATTATTTGACGACGGATTTTTCCGTTATTTCCGGATCATGACAAGGAGGATACGGCGGGTGAGACCGGTCGGCAGAGGATGCTCACTCCTCCATAGCACATGATTCCACCTCTGATGCTTTGGAGATCCGTGTTTACTCTGCTCCTATTTTGTATTGTTTTATGGACTTTGAGATTGAATACTGTTCGTTATCTCCATATCCTTCTTCCACTGCTTTTACTATTTTTTTAATAATAAAAAGTGTTTAAATATGACTTCTTTTAAGTCATTTTTAACGATGACTTACCTCATTGTTTTTATATTTGTAGATACTAAAGTTGCAAGACAGATCGGTAGGAGAATTTTCTAACATGATATTAAATAATAAATAAATCCCAGATTATTTCACATATTCTAAAACATCTACATCAGTTTGTTAAATAATGCATTTTGTTTAACTTATTATATTTACATTCGCAAATATCTTTCTTATATGAACCTATTGAAGAGTACATTAGTTCAATTCTGTGTGAATTTCATTTGGAAGTCAGAAGTCATAGAGCGACCGGATCACAGAGCGATGAGATATTTCGACAAAACAACTTCTAGGTCATTGCGCGTTACTACATAGAAATACGTTGGCCCGTTCGTGTAATAAATACAATTTAACTCGAAATGTATTCGTTCATATTCCGGCTTCATAGGATTTGATCACGTGACCAACAAAAAGTTCATTTCCCAGAGAAATTCTTAACATCGTTGTTTATTTCTTAAGAAACGATTACAGCAAGAAAATTTAGATATAGGGTTTGTCAAGCTCTTTAAGCCTCACAGCTAAAGGGAATGTGATATTCGTTATTCCTTCATTTCTTTATTCATTTGAAACTACAACAGACTTAGATATCAAAATTTTCGAAGTTTTTTTTGAAAGAAAATTCTTTCATTTGATTGATTGATTGATTGATTGTATATTGTTTAACGTCCCTCTTGAGAATTTCTCACTCATATGGAGACGTCACTGTATGCCGGTGAAGGGCTTCAAATTTAGACCTATACTCGGCACTCAGGGCCATTGAGCAGTGAGGGTTCTTTATCGTGCCAGCGCCTACCGTGACACGGGACCAACGTTTTTTAAGGTCATATTCGAAAGACCCGTGACTTTCACTTCTAGTGCCGAGCGCTTGGCGAAGGAACAGTCACTACCTTTGTTTACGTCTTAGGTATGACGCGGCGCCGCGAACGAGAATCGAACCCGGGCCTCCCGATCACGAAGCGAACGCTCTACCACTAGGCTACCGTGACCGGTGTCTTTCATTTGAAAACACCTATGATAGACACTGTTCCTTAGATGACCGTTTCTGCAATAAGGAAAATTAAAACATGAATAACTTTTTGATTAGGAGTCCGCATTAAAGATATTTTAAATAAATCATTTTTTTTTTTTTGCAATTTGCATATTTTATTTGTATGTTCAAAGAACACATAAAAATAAAGTTTGAAATATTCTTTTTACATATTTAATACAATATTTTCTATAGTCCTTTTGAATCTGAAACTCCAAAGATTTCAGGAAACGTAACAAATGTACATTTTCTCTTAGATATATCTCCATTGAATACTAGGTAAACAAATTCTGAAATCTTATAAACATTAAGTCTCTGTATTTTAAAGATAATAATTATTTCTTTCAGAAATTACCATGCAAATGATACAAAAACATTATGAAGCTGTGTGTCCTCTATTTGTAAAAACTCGTTCGTTTGACAGAGTGAAGGAACTATTGGATAATAACGGGTTTGTCATTATCAAGGGTAACCCTGGAACTGGTAAAACCACAATAGCCAAAATGTTAATGAAAGAATTGATGGATGAGGGGAATTCTCCTCTTCAGCTTTACAAGTTAACAGACTTGTATGGTAGCATATCACCGGGTGATGGTATAGTCTTATTTATTGACAATTTATTTGGAGAGTTTTCCTTGTCCCGTGATGATGTTCAGCAATTTAAAGCTATGAGAGGGATGATACAAGTATTGTCTGAGAGTGACTCTGATAAAAAATCAAATAGCCTGATATTTGTATTAAGAAACGATATATATAAGGAATACGCACAAATCGGGTGCGATGACGATTTTTTCCTGTCGTCCTTGGTTGACCTGTCAAGCAAGGAAAATTCACTGCTAAAGGAAGAGATCCTACAGCTGTCACAAAAATATGACATATCAAATAACTTTGATGAGGACAAAGAACTTATCAATAAGGTATATGAAATGTCATTTTCTATAGGGTTTCCTCAATGTTGTAATTTGGCAAGAAGCAATGCAGCTTTTAAACAAAATTTATGTGCCTTTCTTCCCAATCCAATAATGTTTTTTAGAGACTACTTAAACAATATCACGAAAAATCGAACGGCAAAAATCGCTGTTTTAGTGTATCTTCTCTTAAAAGGGGGAACGGTAGATATCGAATTGATGGATAACCCTTATCTGGATTTAGATATGAAACACGCCTCTTTACAATTCTTAAGTCTATCAAACTCATTTATTAACGATTTCCAGGACAGTGTTAATTGTTTTGAGGGGTTTTTAATTACTCATGACACGATAGAAAATACATATAAATTTTCCCATAGTTCAGTACAGGAATCTCTATTCAGCGTCTTGTTTAAATTTGATCCTGAAAAAATGATCCAAATGTGTCATCCGTCCCTACTTATGACACTAACGACATGTAAAAAGCCAAAAAGCACACAAGTATACATACAACAAAGATTGTTTAAATGTGTTGCCTGTCGCATAGCAAATATCATTGCAGAAAGGTGTGTGATTGGGTATTCTTCCATATCATCGCTGGAATTATGGAATGATTCAAACTTCCATGAGCATATATTACAAACTGAACAATGCACTTCGAAATTTAAAACATGTCATGATTTCAAGGGGGATTCAGTAATTGTGCATTTTTCGAAAGCGGGAAATAAGCGATGGGTTGAATACCTCTTACCGAGTTCAGACAAGAAAACAATGTATAAATCACTGAATGCCGCTTGCTCAAAAAATCAACCCGACATTGTTAATCTTATCTTGTCATCGGATGTGGAATGTGATCTTCAAACGTGTTTTAATGCTGTACAAAGTGGCAATATAGATTTATTGCTCCGAATTTGTAAGCTTGTTGATCTTCATCAAGTTTCTCATTCCTTGCACCCTACCTGGAGACATATAAGACACAGCTTACTCCAGGAAATCTGTTTTATGCAACAAACACAATTAATTGAAAACGTTCTGGAAAAATACACATTCCTTGTAGAAATAAAATCTAAATTTGATGCTGATGCATTACAGTCTGCAGCTAGTTCTGGAGACAAAAATGCATTTAATCTTCTGTTAAAGTTTGGCTTTGATCCATATAGAAAAGACCGATACATTGGCCATACAGTTCTAACTTGTGCTTGTCAAGATGGCAAGACTGATATGGTCAAATATCTTGTTGAGACATATCCAGATTTACTCAAGGAACACACTGATTTTCAAGGAAATAGTCTCTTGTATTGGGCAGCTTTCAGTGGGAATATAGATATGTTTGAAAATATTTTGAACCTCTTTGAAAATGAAAATGAATTTCATACATCAAATAGCATAACACCAACGGTTGATGGGAAAAATAAATTGGGTGAAACTATTCTACACGCTGCATGTGAAAATGGTCATTATAATATGGGTGAATATCTGTTGAGCAAATACCCGCAACTACTGGATGTCTGTAGCACTGATGGTTACAATGTCCTCCACGCCGCTGCTCTAGGAGGCAATGTAGATCTCTTTAAGTATTTATCAAGTAAAGGATTAAATGTCTATTGTAAAACAAATAATGGGGTGACTGTGTTTCACATGTGTTGTGATGAGGGTAGAGAGGAAATGTTTAGGTATCTTGTAAATAGGTATCCAGGTTTAACATCTGTCATAGATAATAAAGGATGGACAGTGTTACATTCAGCTTGCTGGGGAGGAAATGTTGAAATTGTCTCTTTTCTTATAGATAAAGGTATGGACATTAATACCTTGTCAAATGATGGTAGAAGTATTCTGCATAGAGCTTGTCTCAATGGGAAGTTTGAAGTTTGTGAGTACTTAGTTGAGAATTATCCCCATCTATTAGACGTCAAAGACAAATCTAGTAATACAGTGTTGCATGATGCAGCCCGGGGAGGCAATGTTCAAATAATAGAACTATTGATTGAGAAAAAGATGGACATCAAAATCCTACAGAAAGAGGGCGACACAATTTTACATCAGTGCTGTCGTTCTTGTAAAATGGAGATGTGTGAACATTTGGTCAATCATTATTCAGAGTTATTGGAGATAAGATACAATTTTGGATTGACAGTGTTACATTCAGCTTGCTGTGGAGGAAGTGTTGAAATTGTTTCTTTTCTTTTAGAAAGAGGAATGAACATTAATGCCTTGTCAAATAAGGGTAAAAATATCTTACATATAGCCTGTATCAATGGGAAGTTTGAAGTTTGTGTTTACTTAGTTGAGAATTACCCCCATCTATTAGACGTCAAAGACAAATCTAGTTACACAGTGTTGCATGCTGCAGGCTGGGGAGGCAATGTTCAAATAGTAAAACTCTTGATTGAGAAAAATATGGACATTAATGCCCAACAAAGAGATGGAGAAACAATTCTACATCAATGTTGTCTTTCTGGTGAGATGAAGATGTATGAGTATTTGGTCAATAATTTTCCAAACTTGCTGAAAATAAGGGACAATACGGGGTGGACAGTGTTACATTCAGCTTGTAAGGGAGGAAGTGTTGAAATGATTTCTTTTTTGTTACAAAATGGATTGGAATCAAATGCGTTGTCAAATGATTGTGAAAATATTTTGCATATTGCTTGTATGAATGGTAAACATGATGTTTGCAAATATTTATCAACAAATTACCCAAACTTGTTAGATGTCAGAGACGGTCATGGTCAATCAGTGATGGATATTGCTACTGAGTGTGGGGACATAGATATGATTCATTTGTTGAGAGAAAAATGAGAAAAGAAATCTTTATTTAATTTTATTCTTTACGAAAGAAATGCTGTGAAACTGTCCTAAAGCACTTGATGTACAATGGTTATTTTCAGAAAGTTTGAAAAACAGTTTTCCCCCATGTGGGTCACGGGTATAAAACTTCATCAATGGAAATAAATGTTTGGAGATATTCATGAATAATTGTTTCCTTCAGATTATTTGGGTAAATTTTTCATAACATTCGCATTGGTATATTGGTGTTTCTTTTCTTTTCTCTTTCTATGCATATATAAGAAAGAAGTCATTTTAAATAAGATGAAGATAGAGAGATCAATATCATACATCCTCAAGAAATTGAGAACAAGACCAGAATACGGCCCCTTAAAATCTCCAAAGAGTTTTTAAATTTTTACGAGTTGATGGACATCAACTCAGTTATGTTCTTACAAATGTTGACCTAATTTAACCAAATAACACACCTCGTTTATTCAGTTCCTTCTACGATAAATTGTATCACATCTTGAAAAACTCTACATAAATAAAAGCGAACATATACATTGAAGACGATGTCAATGTTTCTTTTTTGAAAGGAAATTTATTTTAAGTACATGTATAAACAATAACATTTGCATTGACATGCCTTATTGTGTCGGTCCGACAAAAAATATTTAAACCGCCGAAGAATGAAAGTGTATTTCGTCACTTCTCATATTCCTATATGTGTATATATGCCTTGTCGATTTTTAACATTTTTCAAACTAATTGCATAAAATATTGGTTAATTTTTCTGTGCCAAGTTCGTTGGGGTTTATACAAATGACATATATTAGGCCTAATATAGAGATCGAACTACTTTTTCATATTCATACGCACCATGCTACTTTGTTTTGTAAACAAAACACGCAAAATCGGCAGCACAACAGTGACCTCAAAAGAAATTGACGGGACTGTGGAGGCTTACCAGGAAATTTTTAGAAGGTACGTAAATGTAAATACATGTACATTTAAATATAGTTGCACGTGTTGCTCTGAAATATAAACTTAGCCAGTAGTTTATCGATAGGATTTCGTAAGCGGTATGGTACTGACCGAGTAAACATAAGTGCCACCTTGTTTTCGCGGCTTCAGGGGCCTGATTCTATATGATTTTTTCTTTTTGTTTTGTCCACATAAGTAGCTTCCATTGTGGTAATGAGGCAACTGCCTCACTAGAAATATTATTTCAAGTCTTTGAAAACACACAAAACAGCAGTCGTGCGACAGGACATGCCATAGAATTTTCGACTAGATTTCCACTTTCTTGAGAGAATCGGTCATGTTTTAGTGAAAATCGAATGAATATTTTTCTGCATGCAATGAAACTAAACGAAATTATCCAAGATAATATTTCTACTTGTTGTATTACACGAAAAATACGATGAGAACGAAGCATCTGTTGGAACGACGCCATTTTTATTTTAGCCAGGAGCGGATCAAAATCCACCACAAGCACCTGTTTATAATAAATCTGGAATAAGTTATTTTAATTGATTTATGTTTACTCATATCGCTTCAGAAAAATATTGACAACTTTTTTAATGTAACTTAACAGGGTGAAACTGTCTTATTTATCAATTTTCATTAAAAAATAAAAAAAAAAATATTCATAAATGGGAATATGTGAAAAAAAAATACGCATGTTCTGGATGAGTACAACGGCATCCTGTATCATAATACTGTTGAATTAACAATTTGAGATGTAAAAAAATAAAGATCAGATCGAGATTTTGATGATCTTAAAGATGATTATGTTGACTATGTCAAGGGCTCAAAAAAGAAAAAGACAAAATTTTCTTGAAAATATCAGGTTCAAAGAAAAATTGTCAAAGCAAGTCTCAGCTATTTCTTGCATTGCAGCAGATATGCATCAAGCATCAAACAATTTCTCAGAAGATAGTAAAGGTAGACAGTGTACGTGTTGGTAATGCACTTGTAAGCATTTTGTATAAAGTGGTTCGAATTCCTACAGAGGATTGGATATCAAGTGATCCTAATTAATTGCTTTAGAAAGATGATGATTTACATTTAAGATGTTATAATAAATAAAATACCTTTCAAATCTTCCATTTTACTTCTTATTTTATATGTTGTTTTAATTTGAATTTAAAATTTGTTATTTTTCTAGAAGTATAAACCACAGGGGCCAGAGCATAAAGGTTCCTGGGAGGATTTGTTTACGAAACCTTTTTCACTGCTTCTGGAGGTTTGTTGGTTAATTTCTCATTCCGGAGAAAGAGGCACTTTTAAAATGTCATAATAAATGAAATACCCTTCAGATCTTCATTTATACTTGTTATTTATATGTCGTTTTAATGATAATGTAAAATATTTTATTTTTCTAGAGGTATACACCACAAAGGCAGAGCATAAAGGATGGCTGGAAGATTTGATAAACTTACTGTTGTAGGATAACAATTTCAAGCATTGATATATATTAGAAAATTGTGCTGTCAGTCTTTTGTATGTTAGAGGACAAGCTTCCCCTTGAAAACTGGAACAAATGTGAAATGAAGAATGTGTATCTTCATATTGAGAACTTTTCCTTGTAAAATTACATCTGGGAAAAAGTTTATTTCATATCAATTTATTGTGTTCATTATCTGGTTTAATTTTATATTTGTAATTGTTTTAAAATTGTATGGCGAAACACTTTTTGCTCACCTGAGTCAAAAGCTTAAGTGAGTTTTTTGATCCGATTTCTTTGTTGTCTGTTGTGTTGTAAACTTGTTACAACTTAATTTTTGTTCAAATGATGCCCCTTTCCCCCTGGGAGCTTGAGACCATTTATAAAGTTAAACTTTTCAAAATGGAACTGATATCTTTTTTTTTTCAATCCGAGATACTCAGGTGAGTAATGTGGCAGACGGGCCTCTTATTATATTAGATATGTACATTGATTCACAAGTATGTACTTTGTAGCGACATCAATTAGAAGCAATATCATTTTAAAACCACAGTTTGATAGCTGACATTTTATTTTCAAGAAAATGTTTGAGGTATATGTTTATATATATTATATTAATTTCATGTTTGTGAATTTCAAAATCGATTTTAGCTACAATTTACATTGGAAAAAAATGCAGTTGTCCAACTTATGTCTATTGTGTGTCATGAAAGAAAAATCTTACAGCTTTTTGTGATATGCAACAAATATTTCACCGTGATAATGTGTTTTTGCAACAGTTGTGAAGTGTATATGCTCAAGAATATAATAATTAGTTTTCTCCTGTGTCCCAAAACTGTGTTAGTTCTTTGATTATTGTAGCATTTATTTGTAAATCAGGGTCCTGTGTAAAACTTCTGATTAAGATTACACACATTTTGCATTCCTAATGCTCGTTACACTTGTGAGAAAATTATGAACAAAATTGTGCCATCAACTTTCTCTTTCTAAAAAGAAAATCATTTTCTTGTATTTTACTGTATATTGTGCTTTTACACATTCAAACTGGAAGACTGCAATGTTAAAAAAATCTTATATGATAAGTATAACAATAGTTATTGTCAAATTGATTATGAAAATATTTTTTTAAAGGGATATTACTTTTGCTGTATCCACATTAAGGACATTCAGATACTGTTGTACCATGATAGTTATGAAAGAGCGTTTCATGTCATTTGTTAAAATAGGGCAGTAATACACAATAAATGTATAATTATAATGTAAAAAGAAATGCTTTCCTTATTATTTCACATGACATTATTTGTTTATGGGATTTAATGATACAGTGCATCATCTCATGAAATTGACATCAGAAATCAAATGGAAGTCTAAATTTCTGCTATTTTTTAAATGGCAATTTCATTTCTTTATCAGCAAAGCAGTGTTCAGTTTATAAGCTTGAACAACCATCAACTCGTATCAGTACTTTCAGTACTTTGATTTATATACGGTAGTTTATCTTCAGAACGATCACCATTTTAACCTTCATCTTTTTCATAAGATTCCTTCGATGTAGACATATTGCCCTTTAAATCGAATTTTAGGGGTTTGTAAAATTTCAAAATAAGTGAAGAAATAAAGAAAATATTTTTTTAAATATTGAATTGTTTTAAGTCTCTGCAAAGATTCTGTATCATGTCTTTTATTATTATTCTGTGCAAAGAAAATACTTTGATTGCTATTATGATGATTTTATGTTGGTTTTGTTTTTGTTTTTGTTTTTGTTTGTTTGTTTTTTTTTAAGGGGGGGGGGGGGGGGGTTAATGGGAAACCAAACTGTACAAGACTTTTATTTCCATGGAAATTTGGTGTTTGTGCTTTATTTTATAGTTAAAAAATGTAAAAGTCGAATAAGTTATTTAATGTTTATTTCTGAAAATTGACGCTTATGCTAAAAGGGTTGAATATTTTATTCCGTTCATTTATGCGCTAAACTATATACTTTGTCAATGTAGTTTACATGAATAGAATAGACACACTGGAAATTAATACTTTTGATTTAGCATATATGTTGTAATGGTCATTTACACACCGTGTATATTAAAGACATCATTTACAGCTAATTTTCGTGATCTATATTCAAAAATATCCTTCAAAAGATTGGATGTGAAGTTTGTATGTGCCGTTTTATATATTACTTTTTTGGTTATGTTTTAATGGAATTTTATACCATAAGCACGAAACGGCTGAATGTTAAGTATGTGTACGTCCTTTTCTATTTCATTTTTGTGTATGTTCCTTTATATTTTATTTTTATTACAATTAGTCATTTTATATGCGTAGCATTGCATTTTTATTTCATGTATTTATTGTAATGATTTACATATTATTTTGGTCATATTCTTTTTTAATGAGACTATTGGTAATAAAATTCCCTTTACAAAAGATAATTATTTCTAACGAGGCGAACGAGCCTGATAGGGTACCTGAGCATCATGTGAAAATGATTATCATAAAATTCATGCATTTTCATTCTAAAATCCTTAGAGCCCCGCTTTAACATCACAACTCCTGACCCGAGGGTCATGAAATTAAAACTTTTGGAAGAGAAATCTTTTCTCATTATTACTATATACATACTTTGTTGGTTTGATACCCAAAAACAGTGAAGTAGATATTTAGAGAGTCAATAAGTTTTCACTATTTAAACTTCGTTATCTCCAATCCTCGGTTATCTCGAAGTTTTTTCTCAGTCCCATGAGGTTCGACACAATTAAGGTTGAGTGTATTTTAATGGAGTGCAAATTATTCAAATTTCAAAATCAACATCAAATTTAAAAAGTATGAACTCAAACATTGGATTTTTTCTGGAATTAAAAGTTAATATACTCTTAAGGGTTGGTAAATAACGAATTTCATAGAATCACAGACTTAGTTCCTTCATTGATTCATCTGATTGCATCTTTAAACATACAAAATAATTCAAAGAAGTTGTGTCTAATACTTAGGGCAAGAAAACAATGCACACTTAGGGGGTGGGTTGCCATGGGCCTTGGGCCTTATAGGCCCCATTAGTGCCATGTTGCAACTAACACTCAAGTGAATTTTGGTCGTGATTTAAACTAAAAGCCATGGAATTCCCAATTTTGAAAGAGACACCATTGTTTATCATAATTATACACTAAGCATGCTTGTTTGGTCTCTTAAGACTCAGAGGTAGGTCAGAGTAAGAAAGAGAAAAATACATTCCAATTTTATAACCACCAATTGTGTACCCCGCCCCACAGGAACCATTTACCCTGGGCCATATATTTCAAAATTTTGGAAATTAAATTTTATTTCATCATAAATGCTTTATTAATACCAAAGAGCAGATTTCAGAAATTTAATTATTTTCAGACTAAGACACCCCCAGTACCCTTGACCCAGGGGCCCTAAAATTAATCATTTTTGTTAAAAAAAAAAAAACAAAACTTTCTTCATCAGTAATATGAACTTATGTTATTGGTATATAATATCCAGGAGCAAAGGGAAAAGAATTAAAGTATTCATGCATTTTCACTTTATTATCATTACAGCCCCATCCTTACACCAGAACCCTAAACCGAGGGGCCCTGAAATTCACAAATTGAAAAGAAGAATCCTTCCTCATTTTAACAATGTACATAGTTCATTCATTTAATATCCAGAAGCAGAGGAAAGATTTTAAAAGTATGTTTGCAATTTCACTTTATAATCATACAGCCCAGTCCTAACACCAAAACCTGCATGACAGCAAATTCACAATTTTGGAAGAGACAGCCTTATTTAACATAACCATGTACTTGGCAAGTTTTTTAATACACAAGAGCTAAGAAGAAGATTCTAAAAGAGGAAATGTATTTTCACTATATTATCAATATAGCCCCGCCCTAACACTGAAACCCCTGACCCAGGGGCCACAAAATTCACAATTTTAGAAAAGGCAGTCTTATTCAACATATGTATGTACTTGGTAAGTTTATTTAATACCCAGTAGCAGATAAGAAAATTTTTAAAGAATAAATGTATTTTCACTATTTTACCAACAGAGCCCCACCCTAACACCAGAACCCCCAACCCAGGGTGCATGAAATTCACAATTTAGGAAGAGACATTCTTGCGGATGTTTGCATTTTCATTGAAACCATGCTTCAAGGTTCTTTCAACTTCTCAAAAGGTCTAATTAAAACTAGAAATTTTTATCCCGAAAAAGCATTTTTAGATATACCAAAGTTTTGCAAGAACCTTGAAGCACATTGAGAGGCATATAATGAAAATTGTTGCATGAAAATATTTAATTTTCAAGCTTCATTTAAAGACTTTTTTAATAAAATTATAAATTAAAGAGTTGCCCTTCATGTCTGAGGGTCGGAGTCCCTTAAAACAGACAGAATTTATAATTTATGACCTTTGACTGAAGTCATCTCATTTGTCACACAATTAAGTTTAGAATTGAATCTTGATTTCTTCTCTCTGTTTTTGTCCCCCGCTTTTTATTTTCACACAATATTCATAATTTTTCAAGTTATGCCGTTTAAAATACTATGTAATCACCTCATACTGAAGGGTTTTTTCACAAGACCAAAAACCTCGTAGAACCAAAACTCTTGTTCAACAATTTCTTATAAAGCACTTGAATATTTCGGCAATTTTCATTCAAAATTACCTCGTCAAAAATTAATGTATGGTGTTCATAAAAGAATTTATGACATTGCTTATGTCATGATTACTTTGTTGGTTGGTACTCCTATTCCGCTTTCTGGATTTCTTCTCCATTCTTTCTAAAAACTGTGGCTCTAAATTCCTCGCCTCCCTTGCCAGATATTCTTCATCCGGGTCTAAGTCACGTGACAGGAAAGCAACAGATGTTCGATAATTCTGTCCAAACTTGTACGGCGCACGTACCAACATGTAGAGAAGTTGAAGAACGAGCAGAAACCCAAAATACAAGAAGGAACACTAAACCTATAAATAAAGAAAGGAGTGAATTATAATATTTGTGGGGAAAGTTTGTCGAGAAAGGCAAAAGTTAGGAGACATTGCATTATTTTTTACATGATTAACGAGAGATGAAGCATTTTGTAGAAAGGGACTAGAGAAATAGTTAAAAATGGTCAGATTAATTACTTGAAGATGAAAAAAAAATATTCAAAATCAGCCCACCCTATCCCCGGGCCAATTCTAGGTTAAGGTAAGTCACTCGTCAGCCTTTTTAGAAAAGTTCACGCAGAACCTCAAACTTCAAAAATATTTATCAAAATTCAATTTCTAGAAAATAATTATATTCAACAATGTATATTTTTTAACAATCAAAGAAAAAACTGCTCAAAAATCTTCAAAGAAGCAAGATTTATTAGGGACTATTTTTCGTGGTGGAAGGATATTTAGCAGAAATTTCTGCAAATCTGCACATTTATTAATTTTAACGTCTTGAAACTTAAGCCTCACATACTTTTACTCGGAGAATATTTTCGGTTATGATACTGATAGGAATATTTGATATAGGTCTTAATTTAAATTTTTAGAATAAGTTTTAGATCTTCCTTCAACAAACTTTGCCAAAAACTGGAGATATATCAAAGAAGTCAAGATATATTTTACACCATTTTTTGGATGAAAATCACATATTTTGTCCAATATTTCAAAATTAACATCACTGACCCCAACTTTTTCTTCCATAATTTTAAACTTCTCGATACTTATGACTGATCAGCACTTAAGTCATACAAAGCTTGATATAAGAAAATATAATATTGCCTATTTATTTTTCTAATACCCAAAATATGTTATATGTTAGTGCAAAAAGGTCGCATAATTATTTACGCGCATTAATTTGCAAGATTTGATCAATGATAAATATTATTCAAACTATTTTACATAAAGTAAGAATAAATTTGTTGCCATGGTTACAGCTGAAAAAATATAATAAGAGATAGTTGTATAAAAGTAACAAACTAGGGGTTAAAATTTAAGTGCAAATAGGTCAACTTAAATGTACCATACATCAGTACGATGCATACTGACCCCGTATTTTCTCTGCGATTTTGAGTCACACTTTATGAGTACTTGTCCAAAATATACTTTTCAAAAAATCCTTGATATAAGAAATTTGAGGAGTGACTTACCTTAAACGTTTTTCCTTTGTCTTTAATGAATTTACGAGATTAAGATGTACAGCTCATATACTTACTGAGTGGATTTGTCCCGGCCACTTGAAGGTCGATACTACTTGATAACGTCATCACAATGACGATCCACAAACAATTCACGATCCCCGATACCATTAACTACTCGTTACGTAGAGTTGCTAATTTTTCTAAAATCAACAGATGTAAATGGTCAATAAGGCAAGAAATGTCTAAAACCTATGAACTTTCAAAACAAAATTTATTCTCTGTCTTTATACATGTATGTACTATATCTTGATAAATGAATGACAACTTATTTCTGAAAATGTTAATATATTGATAATTTTTTTTAATAGATGTATTCATTTAAAGCAGAAAAATAGAAATACTATATCGGACCTTAGTTAAACAGCTCTTCTCAACATACAAGTTTTCATGATTTGCCAGATAGAACTTTGTTTCTGCTTATAGGTGATACTTTAGGAGATCATACACTTACATACAAAGGAAAAGATGGTTAATAACTTGTGTACTTATTTTTCTTAATCAACCCCATGCATATATTAAAATAATGTCTGTATTCCCTCTCTCGACTCAGGAAAAAGAAAAAAAAGGATTGTAGGTGAGATTTTTATCTTGAAATCAAAAACATACGCACTGACATGTTTAGAAAATTTTGGAATACAACAGAAAAGAAATGTATCGTTTTTGAAAGCTAAAAAATAAGTGTTGAGTTCCTTCTTTTTTAGGCAGTTGGTCGGGGGAGGAAAAGCAAATAATTTGTTCATCCCCATGCGTCTTTTTTAGATTATATTTACTTTTGAGAATTTGCTCAAAACCAAACACGTCGGCAGAGGGCGCTAAACACGCCTCTATGAGATCCGCCCAGAACTTGTACTCCTCCTGGTTCACGCTCCTTAGATCGTGTTGGTAGGCCCGGCCTATCTGCTCCTTGATTTCTGTTATGATCCGCTCCTCTGCAACACTTATACTTTTCCTACTTATACATATACTTCTCTTTCTAAGGAGGGAATTCTTCAAAATCACCTGTCAGTTTTGAATACTTTTAATTTTCCACAGAGCCAAAATGAATTTGAACTACCTTATACAATGTTTTTATTGGATTCCGAAACTTTATAAGAATCCTTACAAACAAAGATACATTGCAGGTTCCAGTAAATGTTCAACCAGGCCTCTTTCGTTACTTCTCACTAAAATATTGACAGTAGTGAAGGAAAAACTTCAAGAGTATTGTACAACTATATATTCAAGAAGTGGTGTAAATCAGATGTGGATACTTAAAAATTCTAGAGAACTTTTGGACAATTTGAAATCAAAAGACTTTACAAAAATCAACAGCATAAAAACTTACGACTTTTCAACTTTATACACAAAAATTCCCCACGACAAATTAAAATCCAGGCTTTTTGATATCATTAACAGCTGCTTCTTCAATAAAAAATGGCACCCGTAAATTTACTTACCTCGTCATTAGTCATTTGCTAAATTGTTTTGTTAAAAAAGATTCTGATTGCACACATAAGTACTCTGAAGTTGACATTAAGAAGATGCTTGAACTTCTTATTGACAACATTTATGTTGTTTTTGGAGGCCAAATCTATTTGAATTGCCATGGGTACAAATTGCGCTCCGTTTTTAGCAGACTTTTTTTATATTCGTTTTCATATGAAGCAGAAATTATGCAAAATCTTTTGCATGAAAAGAAAAAAACACTTGCTGTGGCCTTCAACTCTACATTTAGATATATCGACGACGTATTGTCAATTAATAATGATAATTTCCATTCCTACGTCGACATGATATATCCTGGTGAGCTTGAGATAAAAGATACCACATAGTCCGACACTTCTGCTTTATAATTGGATATTTTATTTGAAAAAGACACTAATGGTAATCTAACAACGAAGCTATATGATAAACGTGATGACTTTAATTTTTCTATCGTCAACTTCCCTTAATTATGCAGCAATATACCTTCATCACCTGCATACGGAGTATTTATATCTCAGTTGATTCGATACGCAAGAGCATGCTCTACGTATGAACAATTTCTTAAACGAGGTAAATTATTGACAAACAAGTTGATTAAACAAGAATATCAACAGTCTCGTTTAAAGTCATCATTTCGTAAATTTTATGGTCGATACAATGACCTTGTCAGCAAGTACAATTTATCATTGAATGAAATGCTGACTGACGTTTTTCATACCAATTGTTAGTCCATTATTTATACACTGAATTGACCACGGATTTTTTTTCCGTTTATTTCCTGATTATGACAACGAGCACACGGCGGGTGTGACTGGTCGGCAGGGGATGCTCACTCCTCCATGGCACCTGATCCCACCTCTGATGTTTCGGAGGTCCGTGTTTGCTCTGCTCTTATTTTGTATATTTGTTTAGTGGACGTTGAGATTGAATTCTGTTCATTATTTCCATATCCTTCTTATAAAATTCTTGATAGATTACGCTAATTTTAGCAGCTGATTCTTTTAATATATCTTTTAATATATCATGATTCTCTAACGTTTTATCGCCCACTGTGACCCCTTCCTACCCTATGGCTCATGGTTTGAGCAAACTTCAATCTTATCTACCTAAGGATATTTGCATATAAAATTTATCTTTCCTGGCCCTGTGACAAAAAGATTTATATAAAAAAAAAACTTTTAATTTTCCACTAATTTTTATTTTCTCCCTTTGTAGTTTGGTGTGGTACGTCATTTGAACAAAATTGAATTCCCTAAAAAAATATTGGTTAAAATTTGTTCAGTGGTTCTTAAGAAGAAGTAGAAGATATCAAAATTTAACAGACAGATGTACACAGGGATAGCTAGAGACAGACAGACAGACGTCGAACAAAATGTTATAAGAAAAGCTCATTTGAGTCTTTGGCACGGATGAGCTTATACAAAAGTATTCCAAAATACAAAATTACATCTTCAATACACAATACCTAACAGATAAATAGAACAAATTATGGTATGTATCCATATAACTTTCATTTAGGGTCAGCAAATGTAAACTTGTTTCATTTTATTTATATAAAAAATGAAGTTTTTTCCTCATATAAGTTTCTCTACCTTTTGTTGTATTACGAAGACAATCGATGGCATTCAACGTTTTATATGAACTGAATAAATACATGTATAAAATCAAATATACTTATTCTATCAATATTTTGGTCTCATGAAAAGCTATTATTGCATAAGGATAAGGATAAAGAAATTAATAAGTAAGGAAAACATGACACAAATAATAAGCACAAAAAAGATATTCTTTCCATCAATTTACGTATAATCAAGAGAATGTTTATCTTTAAATGAAAAATGGTTTCGAACCGCAAGACCGGTCGGCAGGTGATGCTCATTACTCTACAGAACCTAACCTGAGCTCTGATATTTTATTGGTTGAAGAGACAATTGAGCTTGACTACTATTCGTTATCTCCATGTTTCTTATTTGTTCAGCTCCTGATTTTAAAGCAAACAAACAGTTACTAAGTTCAAAAATCAATTTAAACAAAAATAGCAGGATCAGACTAACACGGACCTCTTAACCATTAGATGTGAGATTGGGGGTCATGGAGGAAAATGCATCCCCTGCCGACTGGTCACACCTGTCTTGTGCTCCTTGTCAAATTTGGAAAATGAAAATCTTTTGACAATTCAGTGTTAAATTGTACTTTTTAGTTTGAATACTGTTCTTTATCCCATCGATTTCATTTTGATTGGACTTAAAATGTTCACCGCTTTTGACATTTTGAGATTCTCTTTTATTTCCTTTGCTGTAAAAGATTTGAGTGTCACCATTTTTCATGTTTTTAATTTCGTTGTCACTAGAGTTCTGTTTGTATCCCTCTAAACCAATCAAGTGCAACTAAGACGATACATCTTCTTAAATGTAAATAAATTATTTTGCTTTTAAAAAAAATACTAGTATTGTATTATATATTTTTTTGAAACTCATTAGTAATCTGTTCAAAGGTTCAGTGGATTTAAAAAAAAAAACGTATGAGCATTAACTAAAGGTTTTCATGAAAAAAAAAATGAAAAATGACTATAAAGAAACAAACCGAGACATCGATAGGAATTTGTAATTCCGGAATGTCTTGGATTTTCCGGCACAGTTTTTGGCGATGAGAGACTTTCTCAATCCCTTTTGGCTGAAGGTCCTTCTCTGTTAGCATTCCTAGAAAGTTTGTATTTTCATACCCTTTATCGATGATGTTGGATCAGGTGCCATTGAGGAGTGAACATCTTCTGCCGACCAGTCACACCCGCCGTGTGCTCCTTGTCATGATCAGGGAATAACTGAAAGGTAAATTTAAATTTAGACTAAAACTGAAGTAAGAGTAACATATTTAAGTACGGGTCTCTGTTAGGATGTAAGAATCAGGCAATATGTGTATAAAGGTTAATCATGACGATTCTAAGAATTCGATGATTTAAAAACTGTGTGCCAATTTATAATGAAATCAGACCAAAATTGTAGGAGGAGTGGCATTTTTTATGTATTTCAAAAAATATGTATTTTTAGTAACATAGCCGATTCATTGTATTATGTATCTTTGTTTTTCTCGAACAACATTCCATATCAAATACAAAATACAATATCAATACAAAATAGAAGCAGAACAAACACGGACCTACGAAACATCAGAGGTGGGATCAGGTGCCCTGGAAGAGTTAGCACCTCCTGCTGACCGGTCACACCTGCCGTGTGTTCCTTGTCATGTACGTGAAATAACGGAAAAATCCATCGTCAATTTAGCGAATTAATAATGGACTTACAATAAGTATGAAAAATGTAAGTCAGCATTTAATATGATAAGTTGTATTCGCTGACAAGGTCATTGTATATACCATAGAATTTCCGAAAATGGTGACTTTAAACGTGACAGTTGATTTTCTTGTTTTATCAGTTTGTTTGTTAAAAATTTAACTCATTTTAGAATCAAATGTATAGATTGCGACAAGCTCTTATGTTTTCAAAGAATTTTTATGGGTACAAGAAAGTTCACAGAAATTTCTTTTTTAGTAACCATTGCAACATCATTCATCCAATTCAAAAACAAATGCATTTAATGTTGTTTCTTAGTAAACTCTACTTGTGTCCCAAGATATATTGAAATCATTCAAAACTGTAGGAGAAGTAGCGTTTTAAAAGGAATATTATCGAAATTTCTATTTTAGTTACCATGCCAGGACCTTCACCAAAATCCATAATAAATGCAATAATTTTTGGCTGTGTTTTTACGCGTTGATCATTTATAAACGGCTATAAAACAGTCATAAAACATCCAGTTTAGTTCAAAATTTCTCCCAGTGACGTTTTATGAATACTTAAGTGGCAGGTAAAATGTCATAAATCTCTTTGCACTATAATTGTGCAATTTTAAATTTTAATAAAGAGTCTTTGTAAACGTGCTAAAATGTAGCATGCTCCGTGAAGCAAGTTTTATCAAAAAAGAAAAGCTGTATATTTTCAATAACCACCAGAGAGCAACAAATTATTGTATATTTATTGGAAAGAAGGCAAATATTTTGACTGGTAAGTTTGACAGGTTTCGTGGAAATAGCGCATTCACAATTGAACTTGTCCGCGATTTTTTCTAACACCCTTCGTACATTGAAGTTAAAGAAATTTTGAACTAAATTGGAGGGTATATGACTGTTTTATAGCCGTTTATAACTGATCAACGCGTAAAAACACAGCCAAAAATTGGAATGCCATTGAGGGTCATGGAGCACCGCACTACGTAAACATTATGTTTGCAGACCGGAAAATGTCTAAAAAGAGATCAAGATGTTGCAGGGAATTTCCTATACATTCAAAGGACAAGTTTCCAAAGGGTTGTAGCTTTATAAGAATGAAAGGATTGGTATTTTGAATGATTAACTCTAGCGATACTTCTATACCCTCGTATCGCATTCATGAACGTTGTGTTGCGCCTATATGGCTTTGCATAGTTTCCATATTTGATCGATTAACTGATTAACTTCATAAACTTTTTTTAAGATCTCAATAATATCCGAATCAGTTCAAAAGACATAATAGAAGAAAAGTAACATGTCTTGATATAGATATTCAATTTTAAAGTAGAAAAAAAGATAAGAAAAATCTTAAGATTTATAGAACTACGACAAAGCTTAACGGGTTGAAGTCTGGTTGTCACGTCGCCTTGCGTCAACTGATTGCTCCGTGAATCCCATGACCTAATAGTAAAAATCGTTGTAAATTTTCAAGATTTTAATTTATTGACCAGATTTTTTACTTACCAATAAACAAAATGTAGGAATTTATTCAGACATAGGTCATACTTCACAGTACACAATAGATTTTCCGTATTTCAATGAGTCCCCGAACTTTTCTAACGACCTTCGTGCAGGCCAAGTTAGCGCGTAAATTTACCGTCCAGTTAAATTTAAGGGATAGCCTCAAAATACAGGTTCATTTACAATAGAAAAAAAATAGCACTTTAAAGCAAATTTTCATGCTTTATATTAAAGTAGCGTACATTTATTTTTTCTTTTAATATCATTTTAGTTTAATTTTTAATTAACCCTTTAGTGAAGAGCTTTTGTTTATCATAACATATAAAACACGGTGTAACGAAGTCAACCTACATGCACCTATAAATTGCAAAATCTATTTTAATTTTGTTTAATTTCTTTTATTAATGGAACATATTACTTAAAACAAATGAGTAAATATACTTTTTTTACTATGATGCATGAAATATCGCACAATGAAAACCAAAGTCAGCCCCCTTAAAGTGTATATTGAGACAATTTGTGTTAAACGTTGCATTGAATATTCGATTCCCCTTTTCCTCAGTTGGCAGATTTTTTAAAAAAAAATATTTAAAAAGCTTTTTCACTCAAGAAAATATTGTCTTAATTTGCATTTTTAAATGTAAATGAATGTTGTTGTTTCAATCATTTAACAAATTTAAAAGATATACACCAAGGATCTATGAGTGGTGAATCTATGAGTGGTGGATCAGGTGTAGGCGTCGGGTCAGTTGGAAGGGGTGGCGGATTCATAGGGGGTTATAGTTAGCGTATCTAATATTTCTGGTGGCACTTCCACAGCTGCTAGTTGGGGGTCTTCTACCATTGCCGGATCCAGTTTTATGGGTGGCGGTTGAAGCAACAGTGGAATCCGCCCCTCCGTTGGTGTATCAACAGGAACTTACACCCGCACTACGTGCGTCGTAGCGCAGCCAAAAGAGTGCAGAACAGATTTGTCAAAAAAGGTCAGATCAAATTAACAGATTGGGGAATCAGAAAAAGATGATTGTGGGACGTGTGTCTGTATAAAGCCCTCTGTAACAGTGAGTGGGATATTTATAGTTTTCAATAATTGTGTTTTTAATGAATTCATTTCATAGACAGAACCATGACATCTTTTATAGAAATAATAATGGATATAATTACAGCTCAAAGCATTACACAAGTAGTCCAGCCAGAGGATATATATAATAACCCTGATTATCAAAAAAAAAATTCAATCAGTATACTTATTACACAATTCACCATAAACAAAAATCATTTCTTTTCCTTGCGTGAGGAGATAACCTACCGAGTAATAATTAATATTGTGTTTACTTCTTGTTCACCAGGTGGTGACCTTGACCTGTCCTAACCTGACCTGTCACTATGACTGCGGTGTGGGTTAGAAATGTGGGACAGACGGGTGTCCAATGTGTGACTGAGCTCTTCCCTCAGGTATATATAGAACCAGAGATACATGCAGAAAATCAATGATACATTATGATAAATTATGATGATAATAGGAGAAAGGATATAAAACTGCCTCTAACTTCATTCTTAACTGAATAAAACATTGGAATTTGATACTGCAATAACAAGGGCTAATTCTAAGTTCATTTTTGGAAGGTTCTGACAAGATAAGAAAAGTAACTATTTATTTCAATTCTTCAAACAGAAAACTTACCTTAAAAAAACTTTTAAAATACACATAAATTCACTAGGGCCTAATAGCTAGTCGTCGAATATATTTCTGCAACAAATTGTACACTATAAAATACATTTACGGTAAAGATACATTAAAATGCATTTTTGAAAACCCAACCTTCTAAATCACAGGGTACG